GCACCAAAGAATTCAGAATAATTCTGCTACCAGAAAATTACTACTCCACAGAGCAGTTTTCTTTGGGCTATAAAAATTAGAGATTTAAAAGCTGTATTTTATATAGAAGCCAAGGTTCTGCTTGTGTTCATTATTTCATGCAGGGTTTTTTTTAAGTTCTAAACCAACAAAGAAAGACTATTCTTGTGCCTAAAGTCAGAACAATTCTGTCACTGTCCAATTAGAAGAGAGTGCAAACTGAGAAGGAAGCTGTTACTGGTTGGCAGCTAGTAAGTCAGGAAATGAGTAGTCTGGCCACAAGACTACGCATGCAGTATGACCCGAAAATGTGAACACTGGTACTCTGAATCCCATGGCAATGTTTATTCTACTGCTAAGAGTAGTACATTCCCAGTTTAATCACAATTAATGATTAAGGGTGAGCAAATGCACACCTTCCCTGGGACTGTATCAGAAACACAACTTACATGATATTCAGACAAGACCGTAAGATTCAGAGAGCACAACTCTTAGGAAGCTGGCTATTGAAACAATTCAGCCTATAAACGAAAACAATATCCTTTCCTTGGACTTCAACCATTAGTGACACAGATCAGTCAGACCTTTCCCTGAAAATTAACTTCAGTTGCTGAGAGACACATTAAAGCAAATATGACAATGATGACAATGTTGAGAACCATCTTTAATAAAATGAAGAAAGGATGACAGCTTCCATTAAGCAGCATTTACGCACCATCGAAAAACCTTTTACTTATCAAGACCTAATTAATCAAGTTAGCTTTGTACTGCCTTACATCTGTTCTCTAAATAAAAGACACATTCAGGGCAGTACAAAAATCTATGATTGTAATGTATTAAAAGGGTACACTTTAAGGGAGGTTAAGGAAAAGCCATTTTGCCAGCACTAGCACATTGATGCAAAATGCTATGCACCGAAGCTGCAAAAAAACTAAACTGCATTAACAGGTTTTAGCTCAGGGCAGAGTATTCATAATGTCATCAGCACAAGGATTCAGATTTCAGACTTTTTTTCTTCAAATCTCAAGTAAGGTTTCTTGTTCAAAACCAACTCAAACGCTTGCCTCCATGTCTTTTGGCACTTAAATGACCTGATTTTTGTGCTTCACACTTCTGAAAAATCAGGACACTTATTTACATTCATAAGTGACAATACAGATGTCTGCTCCCTCACTTCCATACACAAGAGGCTCTCATTTTTAGTGAACAAGGAACACCAGGGACTGAGATTACAAAAGTGCTGTTAATCCTGCCTGATATCACACAAGCCATTTCTCCCCCAGAAGCAGTATTACTTTAGCAGTAACTGGACTGCAAAAGTGGATTTATTATCAGCCCTTTGATTACTCTGCAGATGTTTTAAATTTATTGCTACCCAGCTTGACACTCCCTAAATTAACTGCTTTCTTTACACAGTTGAGCAATTAGGATACAGCATGTAATTTCTCTTTTTAATAAAAATAGTTATTAGGATAGTGCTTTATTAAATAGACTACAACTCAAAAGGAAAACACTTTTAGTTGAAGGACCGAGACGTTCATTATGTAAATTAAACTATTCAAATGTAACAAAGAGTATATGTAAGGTTTGCAGAAAGTCTAGCTTAAGTCAAATACATTCCACCAGTCAATATGCCCCCTTAAGCATTTGCTTAAATCCTAAGCACAAAACACAGCACATGCTTAAGCGCTTTGCAGCAATTTCTACCATACTGGTGTTTAATTCACAAAAGCAAACTCATACAATACAGCACTGATACAACAGAAACATATGGAAGCACAACACAATTCCTGCACAAATACAGCGTTTGGTATTTTTGTTGTAACACTGCAGAATATCCTAAACCCCATATGGAATAATTACCTATACTAACAGTGCTTGTGCAATTTTGATGACTCCTAACCTCAGTTGCCAGACAAGGAAGCAAAATACATAGCTTCTTTCAAAAGTGAAGAAAGATGGGAGAAAAAGTCGGAACAAATCGCTACTGCATCCATCCTGCATAGAAAGGGCTGGTGTTCAACTTGACTTTTTATCAACACAAAATTATCCATATAAAGCACTGTACTTTTGAACATATTAACAGGATGTTCAGTGCACTTTCATGACAAACTGAGGTGTTCCCTGAAGCAAGGGAATCTATTTAACACAAGTGCAAAACAGCATTTCAGCTGCGTTGACTCTCCATAGCAAATTCATGCCATGCAACTGGGTTCCACCACAGTGCTCAAATGTTTGCCCTCACAGAAGGATCTAGAGGAAAAGGTTATGCATCTTCTAGTGCCTGTTCCCAACTCATGTCTCACTCTACACCCAGGTGAGAGGGGATAAACTGAAATAGAAAGTTGCCATTTCTAATCTAAATTCCCTGACTGTGTAAAGTGAATTCGAAAATTGAACCACTTCATTGGTCTAGCATCTTTCATGTGCCACTCCATCCTTTCTTAATTCAAGTGATTGCCAAGAGTACTTCTATTGCCAAAACCACCCATTTCAGATGACCTCAGCACTCCCCAGTCTTCAATTGTTCGTCAGGAATCCTGAGGGCCCTTGATGCTCTGCACACTAAGTGCTCCTCTGAAGCCATCCAGTTCTGCTAGGAAGACACACAGTTACCAAGAAACGTTGTATGGCTATGATCTTATTGGGATCACAAAGACCTGAAGGGATGACTCGCATCACTGGAGTGCTGCAGTGCAGGGATACAGGCTCTTTAGGAAAGACAAGCGAGAAAGACAAGGTCAAAGTGGTGGAGTTGCCATTTGCATGAGAACACAGCTGGAAAGCATGGAGTAGTGTCTTGGGATGGACAATGAGCCAGCTGAGAGCTTATGGATAAGGACTAGAGATGGCAGGTATGGATGACATTATAGTGGATGTCTATAGGCGACCTGACCCGAAGTCTAGCTACAAGCAGCTTCACATTCACAGGTCCTAGTCTCTGTCCCTCCCTGCTGGAGAGAGAACACAGCAAGACACAAGCAATTCAGGAGGCTTCTGAAGAGCATCAATGACAATTTCCTGATCCAAATAATAGAGGAAACAACAGGAGGTGCTCTGCTGGACCTCATACCACCAAGGGGCTTGTTAGGCAGGTGAACGTCAAAGGCAATCTTGGATGCAGTGACACTGAGATGACCGTGTGTGACTCTGTCTGGAATTCATGCTCCAGAGATGAGAAAGCAAGGCAAAAGGCAAGCATAATGCTGGACTTCAGGAAAGCAGATGTGTGCATCTTCAAAGACCTGTTTGGTAATCTAACAGGATTAAGCCCTGGAGGAAAGGTGGGCCCAAGAAAACTCATTTAATATTCAAGGATCACCTTCTCCAAACTTGAGTGGCCCAATTCAATGAGTAGGAAGTCAGGCAAAAATGCTAGGGGGCCTGCATACAGAGACAAACAGCTCCCGGCAAAACTCAATTACAAGAAAGCAGCAGAGTCATCAGTGGAACAAAATCTCGTTGGAGGCCGCTGCGTACTCTGGGGATCAATACTGGGTCCACTTGTGTTCAAAATCCTAGAGCATCTCTCATATGAGGAAAGGCTGAGAAAGATGAGGCTGTTCAGCCTGGAGAAGACAAGACTCCAGGTGCTAAGCTTGTGAATGTGTACAAATACCCGAAGGGAAGGTGTAAAGATGGAGCCAGGCTCTTTCCGGTGGTGTCTAATGCCAGGACCAGAGGCAATGGACACAATCTAAACATCAGGAAACACTTTTGTATTCTGAGGGTGACTGAACACTGGCAGAGGCTGCCCAGGAATATTGTGCAGTGTCCATCCTTGAAGAAATTCAAAATCCCTTTGGACATGGTCCTGGGCAATCAGCTCTGGATGAATCAGCTTGAGCGGGGGGGCTGAAACAGATGATCTCCAGAGGTCCCTTCCAACCTCAGCCATTATGTGACTCTTTGATATACGGAGATTTGTTTAAAAGAGGAAAGACACTCAACTATTTCCCCTCATTTTATTTTACTGATTTCTTCCAAAAATAGCATAACAATGTACTTTCCAATGAAAACTGATACAAGAAATCTAACAAAACCAGCTTTGACACATGCAAATTTCAACGAAATGTTTCAGCACTTCTAAACTGTCAGTGTTTTTTTAGCTAGTTTCAGAAGTACTAATTCTATCAGACAAGAGTCTTGCATTCCTTGTGTCAGCAGCTGACCTGACTGGTTCTTCTGCTTTGGTGAAGGTGATAGGTGTTCTTCTACACAATAAAAAGAAATAAATCAGAAATCATGGAGTAAAGAGTATGACCTAATTACAGGGGGAACACAATTTAACTACAAACTCAGATAATTTGAACACTTAACTAACAAAAATGTTCTTTCTTAGGTTTATTATGACTTTTCAAAATACTCATAACCATCAACATTTAATCATTTCATCTCTATGTAAACTATAGTAGCCAACAGCGGAGAGAAAAAAATGTGACGTATTCACACTCTCCCAGTAGTGGGTGGCTACAAGCAAGTGGAAAACAGAGCAAACACCATGTCAAAAGTTTCTAACCCAGCTCTTAGAGACTGACAAGCAGTTAAGATGGTAGGCACAATTCTGCCTATTGATAATTAATTACATCCCCGAAGTATTTGGCTCTGATATGGGGACTGTTATCCCCATGTACTGGTTTGCATACACACATACGCAGCCCTTCTTACCTGAGTGAACTTCCAGCATCCTCAGATCTTATCAGCCTCCCCTTTTGGTTCATGATCTAGTACATAATAGTGTTCCTAATGCCTTAAGGACTGCAATGAGGTCCCTATCACCAATAGCTCACCCTTCTGCCAAGCATCCATTTGGAGTTTTATGAAGCAAGTAAGAAACATATCCCAAGATCTGCCTAGTAAGTTTCAGGAGACATTAAAACTGCCAAAAAGTCCAGAGAGTCAATAGAAAATGTTCAGTCATCTAAGTTCAGCAGCTGTTATTCATTACCACATAGTCATATTCAGAAAAAGAGACACAGAGATTTAAAACTTCAGAAATTGAGTTCTTTCAGAGGTGTTTTGTACAGAACAAACTTGTTTAATCTTGGAAGCACCATGAAGTAACACTACATATCAGCAAGCACAAAAAAAAAAACAAGAACATTATGGGACTTCATCATGTAAACTACACCTTGAATACCACTAAGGTAGATTTACACTGCAGGCTTGAGCACAGCACAGAGATGCTCAAACTGACTCAGGTATAGCTTGCCACTTACCTCTTATGCAATGTAGACATACCTTATATGTGTGACTGTATCTAGTGAATTAACAGAGCTCTGCAATACAACATTTAGGCCCTCATTCTGGACATCAAACTCGACAGTGTTTCCATCCATTTCAGAAAGTGCAGGGTCAAGCTTGTAATCACAAACACATTTCTGCTAACAAAACATTTGTTTCTAACATAAACTTGTGTCAAGTTCAAACATGGGTTTTGAGAACATGCAGATTGCTTACAAATGCTTAAAAAGACTGATTCAGAATCTCTCATATATACACACACAAGTCCATCTGTCACAGACAGGCAATGTAACTCAGAATCATGATCTTGCTCTAGTTTTCAACAGTGTCCTGCACACTTCTGATAAAAAAATTAAAAATAAAAAAATAGTTGCCACAATGGATTTCTGACCATTCCAACTCGCACATGGATATGATCTCTTCTTGCTGCATCCAGTACATGAAGTTTCACAGTTGCTTTTCAAATGCAAATACCAAGTAAATACCTAAAAAAAGAAAATGGGAGTATTTAAAGTTTCAGCTTCCTCTGTGACTTGATGAAGCTTTCAAAATGCAAACAAGTTGATACTCTGCCCAAAGAACCCGTCAGCAAATTACTGAAATTACAGACTGCTATGGTTTCCTAAAGAGTAACTCTAGCATTAAATTCCAGCACAGTTTTAGATAATGTTTTCACAAAAGAGCTAAGAATGCACAAAAGCAAAATATTTCAAATACTGCTTTTCTCTGTAACCAACACACTATTCTACACACTTTCCATCGCAGTCATTCAGTCAATACCGAGTTTTCAAAACAATACTTACTTGTTGCTTCCCATTCAGATTTACTCAAAGTTCCCTAGGAGACAAAAAAACAAAACCACAATTTCAGCAAGGAGAATGAGGGAACAATAACACACCAACTGAACTCAGGATAATCAAACTTCCACAGACCAACTTCTAACCATCCCACACTGCCTAGCTATTCAGAGAAGAGCTACTGGGACAAGAGCAGCATTACCGTAGATACTTATAGGGCATTTCCATGGATACTTGTAACTCAAATAACTAGGGCAGCAGGGAATTGCAACACTCCAGACAGCAGAACACACCTAAATTACACAGGTATAAGAGAATGGGCCAAGAGCCTGTGGGGATGGATGCCTCTGCAACGTGGAGTATGCTGGGTCTATCACTGCACATTGGTGTGAATTGAACTGGGCTCAAGCTGTTGTCCAGTCCAAGATGCCAGACATTTGTGAGAAGTCAAGAAGAGGCCCTATTTAATGGTGCTACCACCTTCCCTGAGAACACTGCCTGCAGCCCACAAAAGCTCTATTTGCAAGACAGTAAATCCCAATCTAACTCACACGTTGTGAAAAAACAGCCTGCCTTGCAGCCCAGGAAACCTACTCCTACCTCCACTTTTCAGATTAAAGCAGGGCAAATATGCAAGTAAAAAACTGCTGCCATCTACTCTAACAGTTAAGAAGCATGAGGTAACAACAAGCCTGTTTTCTATTCTGCCCACTCCATTCCCTTGTAGTGAGTCCTCACCGGAAGCATGACTTAGCCCATGCACTACCTACTGACGAACTCCAAATATTGATTCATCTCTCAAAGCACTAGTAAAAAAAGGCTTGTTTGAGCAGATTTCTTCTCTGTCAGATGATACAGCAGGTGACAAAAGAGGTCTTTTGTCTGACTTGACCATTCTCATGCTTGTTTCTTAAAAGTGGCATTTTTCTTTTTAAAACGTTTAAGACTTCAAATACAGAGACCAGGTTTCTTTTCCCTCAGGATATTGGATTTTTCTACATACAGTAAAAGGAATACATCCTGTAAGAATCTAAAACTTCAGAACATGAATGGTAGATAAACCAATAATTTTAAAAAGGAAAACTCCAAGCGAACAAACTCCAACTGACCAGCTTCATGCTATATCTATGACAATGAAATAGGATGCCATATGATTTTACTAAGGCTATAGTCTTTACTTGAACTAGTCTCCAATTTTGGTTCTGCCTTCTCAAAGAACCTCAACACATAAAGAAGACCTAAAGTTCAGACTGAAAGGGCCAACTTTGCTTAATCAGGAACTATTCAGCATGAATAGTTAGGTTAAACCAAGCCTTTGCGATGTTTCTGCAGCCTGACTCCCCAGTGCACAGACAAGCAAACACACAGCTATATGCTACCCTGAATAGCTAGCCAGGCTATAGATGGAAAGTCAATAGCCAAGTGGCAGCAGTTCCTGGGGAAAAACTACAGTAGACACACTCAGTCCTCCTGCTCACTTCCCAGGAACAGCAGCTGTGCAGGCTCCTGCCCATCATGCCCTTAACCCTGAGACAAATATGAAAGAATGAAAGGCTGGGAGGGAACCAGCTGTAGACAACTCCAACACTGGCATGTACTGCTAGGACAGTGGAAGAAAAACCTGTTTATAAAAAACGTGAGAAAGACAGCAAACTCAAAAAGGTAGCATGTGCATTACAGGACAAGACTAGAAACAGAAAAAAAAAATCTACTTAATTTGACCACTGATCTAAAATCTAGTATAACCTCCATGGAGGATGGCTCAATATTCTCTTATTTCTGAAGTCATAAATCAAGCTGTCAAAACGGAAGAAATGCAGAAAAGTATGTCACAGGATAGCAGACTAGATTTTGTACAAGGTAAGGTTATGATCATTGTAAAGACAGAAAAAATAGCATTTACAAAACTTTAATAAAATCATTTGAAAGGGGAGCTGAATCTTCTTCACCCAAAAAGACAATAGAAAAAGGTGTTTAAGATTTCAAGTATATAGAGTATTATGAAGCAAGTTTTCAATTCTCCTGTCAGAGGATTAAAAAAGGAAAGCTAAAGCTTTAGATCAGTATTGTGAAGATCCAGAAACAAGAATATCCTTCATATTAAGAAGAGTTATGTTACAATATCTGCCAAGGAAGATAGTAAAATATCCTTTCCCTTTTGCATTGTCACAAACTTCCTAGTGGCTACTAAGTTAAGTGAAATTGATTGAGTATGGGACTTAAATGCAATGAACTCCTCAGCCCTGTAGCTCCATGGTTTTTCACATGCACAGGGACATCCATATCAATTTCACTGCAGTCAACATGAAGGCACCACATTTGAAAGATCAGGACCTCAATTTCAGACACCATTTGCTCTACTGAAGTAAGAAGGAACTTACCAATGGTAACTTTGCTTTGCCATCTTTGATGAACTCTTTTGCATGTTCATAGTCATCAGGTTTATCAGAAACAAGCCTGGAATCACCAAATGTAGAATATGGCTGGAGAACATCAGAAACAGAAAAAATATAAATTGCATACATTTATCACATCAGTCAAGGATTTGTCACAATGTAGCCCAGAACAGAGGTCAATAATTTAAGAGGATTCTGAATTCAGATCTTCCCTTTGTAGCACCTATAAGTTCAGGTCTGATACTGCCTACTTTGCAGAAAATCTGCCACCCAGGATTTATAAATTAGCTTTTATCCTCATGCAGGGGAAACAAACTATTAGAATTTTGCTCTGTGTACAGCTCATTCTGAGTATTACCTATTAATGTTTTGGAACAGCAACTGAACAAATCAGCATCTCTTAAGCAGAAGTACTAAGAAATGAGTAACTGTAAGATCTCAAGCAGAATGCTTAAAATGCTTCAGTAACACCCAGGAGCTGTAACAGGAGTATACAACTAATTCTTCAATGATAATATATACTTATGTCCTAGTTTCAGCTGAGTTAATTTTCTTCCTAGTAGCTAGTGCAGTGCTGTGTTTTGGCTTTAGTCTGAGAAAAATGCTGATAACTACCAATGTTTTAGTTGTTGCCAAGTAGTATTTACCCTGATCAAGGACTTTCCAGTCTCTCGTTCTCTGCCAGTGAGGAGGGGCACAAGAAGCCAGGAGGAAACAGAGACAGGACACCTGACCCAAACTAGCCAAAGTGGTATTCCATGCCACAGCATGTCATGCCCACTATGTAAACTCAGAGGAATTGGCCAGAAGGGATCAACTGTTGCTCAGGTCAGGCTGGGTATCGATCAGTGGGTTGTGAGCAACTGCACTGTGCATCACTTGCTTTTTCTGAATTTTCATTTCTCCTTTTTTATTGTTGCCTATTAATATCAATATTATTGTTGTTATTATTTCTATTATTATTACAGTCAACTTCAATTACTAAACTGTTCTTATCTCAGCGTGCAGTTTTCACCTTCTCACAATTCTTCTCCCTGTTCTTCTCCCTATCTCGCTCAGGGCAGGGGTGCAATCTAGCAGCTGCGTGATACTTTATTGCCAACTGGGCTTAAACCATGACAACTTAAGGACCTCAGTATATACTTGTTAAAGATTCTAATCGCTACATAATGGTCTGTACTTAGCAATGCAGTCCTCAATTGTAACAGGCCACTAATTTAAGACAACTTCCACTTTTCTAAAAATGAAGCTGGTATGTCACAGGCTGTGTCACCATGTTACTGGCAGTATGAGCCCATACAAAGCACCATCACTCTCAGAGTCAACAAGGACGGTCAAGTGCACTTGCAGCCCATGTGACCCAGTTTTATATGTCACTGGATACTTGAGTTGATAATTTCATGTTGAAAAAAAAAAATAAAAAAAATCTACTGCTTGAGGGAGGAGGAAGAAGAGAGAACTGAGTAAAATCAAAACCTCAGAGATGGCATTAGCAGCTTCACAGAAGCTTTTCAAAGTCATCCAGGACAAAAGCCTGAGGATAAAAAAAGCAGAAACATTGGACAAAACCATAGCCTCAGTTTCAATTAAGTACCCTTTTTTTCCTACAAATACAGCCTGTCCTTCTATTCTTACAAAGATACTTTCTGTATTTTCAACTGAAATTCCTTGCACAAAGATCCACTTTCAGTCTGTTGAGGAAGAAAAAGGATTATGGTTACCGCTCTGTGAAACTAGACACAATTCCCATGCTTCCGCTTGCTACTTGCTAAAAAAAAAAAAAAAATTTGCCTCAAAATTGGGATTTTTGTCTACAAAGCTGAATTACTCTATTGGGTGCAGGTGCCCAGGCACTGGCACCAGGGGCTGCAGAGGTGGCCTCTGTGAGAAGAGGCTGAGGTTGCCCCATGCTGGACAGAGTTGGTTCCGCCAGTCCAACAGAGACACCGCAGGGCACAGCGGAGCCCCTCAGCCATGGGTGTAACACCTGTGATAAAATGTGCTTTAAAAAGCATAAAAAAACCTGCACAGTAGCTGTGAGAAGAGTGAGGAGAAATGTGAAACTACCCCGCAGGTCAGTGCAGAAGGAGAGGAGGAGGTGCTCCAGGTGCTAGAGCAGAGATTCCCCTGCAGCTCATGGCGCAGATCATGGTGAGGCAGGCTGCGCCCCTACAGCCCATCAAGGACCACACTGGAACAGACAACCACAATGCAGCCCTGTCCTGGGTTCAGCAGTAGCAGTCCTTTTTCTCCTTCTTAGTAGCTGGTGCAGTGCTATGTTTTTGACTTTCGGCCTGGAAACAGCACTGATAGCACCGATGGTTTTAGTTGCTGCTCAGTAATGTTTAGTCTGATCAAGGACTTTCTGAGTCTCACGTTCTGCCAGGGAGGAGGGGGAGCCAGGAGGAAGCAGAGGCAGGACACCTGACCCAAACTAGCCAAAGAGGTATTCCATACCACAGCACATCATGCCCAGGATATAAACTGGGGGCAGTTACCCGGAAGGGCTAGATCACTGCTCAGTCAGGCTGGGTATTGGTGGTGAGCTGTATTCTCTTCCCTTGTTACTTCCCTTATTATTATTGGTGGTAGCAGCAGTGATTTGTGTTATACCTTAGTTACTGGACTGCTCTTATCTCAACCCGTGGGAGTTACATTCTTTCGATTCTCCTCCCGAGTTGTCCAGAGCAGGGAGAAAGAACGGGGGCAGTGACAGAAAGGCTGTGTGATTCTGATTTACGGCTGGGCTTAAACCATGACAAGCCCATAGAAGACCACACGCTGCAGCAGGCAGACATGACCAGCAGGAAGCTGCAGCCTGCGCAGAGCCCACACAGGAGCAAGGTCCTGGCAGGAGCAGTGGCCTATGGAAAGCTGCCTAACCAGGAGCAGGTTTTCTGGCAGGAGCTGCAACCCCATGAAGAACCAACCCACATGAAGTCTGTTCCTGAAGGACTGTGCCCCATTGAGACAACACACACTGGAGCAGTTTGTGAAGATTGTATTCCACTGGAGGAGCTCATGCTGGAGCAGGGTAAGTGTGAAAAGGAAAGAGAGGCAAAGAGCTACGGACTGACCACAAACCCCATTCCCCACTGCCCTGCACCACAGCGTGGCAAGAAGAGGTAGAAAGGTCCGGAGTGAAGTTGAACCTGGGAACAAGCACTGAGTGGGACAAAGGTGTTTTTAGATTTGTCTGGTTTTCACCATACTACTCTTTTTTTCCTTTTTGTTGGTAATTAATTTAATTAAACTCCTCCAATTTGACAGTGTTTTGCCCATGACAGTAACTGCTAAGCAATCTCCCTGTCTTTATCTTGACTCACAAGGATTTTTTCTTATATTGTCTCTGCATTTTATTGGGAAGAGGGAACAAGAAAGCAGGTTGGTGTGTGTCTGACAGCCAGTCAAGGTCAACCCACCACAGTCACACTTTCAGTCACAGGAGTTTAGTTCTATTGGTAGCCCTTAATTAATCACAGTGTTCACAAGAGGAATTTCAGTTATTGCACAAATAATTAACAAGATGCAAAATACTATTTAAATGAAACAACTTTATATTTACCTCCAAGGCCTGCATTCTCCTTAACAGCATTTTATGCTCCTCATTCTTGATTTTTTCTTCATAGAATTCCCGAAATGTCATTTTGTAGACTAATTTCATACCATGCTTCTTCGCCATTCTGTCAAAAGAGTAAGCTTAATTAGGGAAGCTATGAAATTATTGTAGTTCTATTTCCTAAGGAACAATTTTAAGCCACAGTGACATCTTATGGTATTCACTAGCATTACACTCTTTCTAGAATTTGCTTTCTTAGTAGACATTTAAATGAAAAAAAATGCACTACCACCATAAACTGTATTTTTCTTTTAATTAGGACAACAAAAACCCACGCCGAATTAATTTAAAAACATTTTAATAGAAAAATGTCTCTTCTCCCAACACACAGAAATAATTTGTTTGAACTTCCAGATAGACTACATGAATTTCCCTGAAGTATCACCACACTGACATGTCACATACTATAGATACAAGCCTCTCTCTGCTAGATTTAGTGCTTATATCTCAATTATATGTATGCCCTGAGCTCATACAATACTGAAGTTACAGGTGTCAGTGACAGATGTTCGTATCTGTCATAGAGAACTATGAATTCATTGTGTGAAAATATACAGGTTTGAAGGGAAAGCTTAATAGTGTTTAACTGCCATACTAAGCTTGAATGACATGAAAACACACAACATGGAAATGTTTGTCTATACCCCAGGAGACAGGCTGGGAAAGGCAAATCTGAATGCACACAGAGGTAACAACAAAATGCATGCTCACAGATGAATATGATTTAGAGGAAGAAAAGATAAGTTGTAGGAAAAAAAATCCTATGAACATTGGAAGAAAGTTGAAGAAGACAAGGAAGAACCATGATGAAGATGACATACAAGGCAGCTTGCTGAAGGACTAAAGGAAGTTATTCTAAATAACTCTCTTCTATATTCTAAAGAAAGGTAGAATGAACCTCTAAAAAAAATTAAGATTAAAGAAAAAAAGATCTGACAGCATTAAAGGTTTTGACAGATCCAACATATCATAGAATCAACTTAGTTGGAAAAGACTTTTAAGATCATCAGATACAGGCATTCTCATGTGAAAGATAGTTTAAGTCTTCACAACTTCTGACCAGAGCACTTTCAACTGAGTGCAATGGACGGATCACAGCTGCAGATGGAAACACAAGAAACCACTGCATTTGGAGCAACAACAAAAAAATTAAGAACTGAAAAATAAAAGAAAGCCAAAATATAATGTTCTGCAAGTATCACATAATGACACACAAACTAAACAAATGCTTATTATGCTTCACAGCTTTCGTTGTATAATGAATTCAAACACTTAACTTACTCTTCCAATAATGGGAAGTAAACCAAGAACTCGGGGACATCAACCACTTCTTCCAAATGGAAATCATATTTGCAGCCAAACAAAGGATATTCTCCCTTCTTTTCAAATTTTACACTGTACACATCATTCCCAAATGAATTTGTTTCTGAAGCTTCAAGCCGCTTTCTATAAAATGAGATATAATCAAACATTAATTGACTAGGTTTTAATTTAACAAGCACAGAAAACTTGTAGCCAATTTAACAAGCATAGAAAAGCATAAGAAGTCTGGAAAGTGTTTCTCCCAATACTACAGCATTCAGCGATCCCTCTAGCTTCTCACCTCCCTTACTTAACAAGGCAAGGAAACAATGAAATTAGAAGATGCATACTAGGTTTTATCAGTTTATCTTTCCTATACAACATTCTAAGAACTAAAGTGACAGTCTCCATGGACAAACTACACTTCTTGAAACAACCACAGCAAAACCCTGACAGTTATTCTCCAGGCTATGGCTATTTTGCTGTAAGTCATTACACAGGGTTTATGTATGAAGATCTATATATATATACTCTTAGCAGAAGAGCCACAGATGCAAGAGACAATGGTTAGTACAGATTTATCTGTTTCAGTGAAGTTCACAAGTGAGATTCTCATGACTAGAATCCAAAATTGTTGTAAAAAACCTTGCCTGTTTGCACAAACATATCAGAATAAGAATGATTATCACTTAACAATGCTTCACAGACTTTTGAACAACTAATAGAATATAAAAGCACTTACACAAGTTCAAAGCTATTTGGAGTCGTGCCAATGAAATACCCTCCAGGAGAGAGGTTCCCACAAGCGTTTTTAAGCATCATGTCAGCCTGCTCATATGTCTCAAATGAATAATGGTAAACAAACTGACAGCTGCAAATGTCAAACCGCATATCTGGATCACTGTATTTAGAAGACAAGAGATCCTGAAACAGATTAAAAAGAAATAAAAATAAAAAAAAAAAAAGTGTGTAACAAAAGCTACAAAGCCAAGCATAATTCAATTAAATCTTCCAACAAAGACACTACTCCTATAAATCTTTAAAGCTTTTCCTTTCAGTCCCCATTCATTTACAAGTTCAACAAGAGGAAGATGAAAAAGAATAAGTCCTCTGCTACACAGAAATCCATGCACAACATCTGGGAACAAGAATGCACACACACATTTCAAAGTTATCATGTCCCCAAACTCCGTTCATGTTTTCAAGCAATACCACTACAATGAAAGGCCAAAACCCAAGGTTAGTCACCTAAGAGTATCCAGAGATATTTTACTGCTGAGAGTTTATAATAAGTCACTATTCTAGCAGAAAACAATTATAAAATTAATTTTCTGTTTATTAAGTCTCTGTCATAAGAACTGACCGATTAAAAATATAATTCAGAGAAGGAGGAGTTGTTTTAACTATAGCAATTTGCACTGCTCACCAAGCTGTATTTCTCTGTATTCTAACACACATACATACATATGTACCAACACACTCCTCCCCACCCAAGACAAAATAACCAGTAACTCTGAAAAAAATCAAGAGAGCAGACTTCGGCCTCTTCAGGAACCTACTTAGTAAGGTTCCATGGGATATTGCCCTAGAGGGCAGGGGGGCCCAAAGCTGTTGGTTGATGTTCAAGGATCACCTACTACAAACTCAGGAGTGTTGCATCCCAACTAGAAGGAAGTGCAGCAGGAGGGCCAGGAGACCACCTTGGATGGATAAGGAGCTGCTGAGGAAACTTCGAAGAAAAAAAGAGGCTCCTGGGTTGGAGCAATCCAGGGCACAGCTACAGGTTGGGCAGAGAAGAGATTCAGAGCAGCCCTGTGGAGAAGGACTTGGGGGTGCTGGTCAATGAGAAAATGAACATGAGCCGGCTTCAGTGTGCGCTTGCAGCCCAGAAAGCCAACCGTATCCTGGGCTGCATCAAAAGGAGCGTGACCAGCAGGTCGAAGGAGGTAATCCTGCCCCTCTACTCTGCTCTCCTGAGACCTCACTTGGAGTATTGTGTGCAGTTCTGGTGTCCTCAACATAAAAAGGACATAGAACTGTTGGAACAAGTCCAGAGGAGGGCCACAAGGATGATCAGGGGACTGGAGCACCTCCTGCATGAAGATAGGCTGAGGAAGTTGGGGCTGTTGAGCCTGGAGAAGAGAAGGCTGCATGGAGACCTCATAGCAGCCTTCCAGTATCTGAAGGGGGCCTATAAGGATGCTGGAGAGGGACTCTTCACTAGGCATTGTAGTGACAGGACAAGGGGTAACGGGTTCAAACTTAAACAGGGGAAGTTTAGATTGGATACAGGGAGGAATCTCTTCACTGTAAGGGTGGTGAGGCACTGGAATGGTTTGCCCAGGGAGGTTGTGAATGCGCCATCCCTGGTGGTGTTCAAGGCCAGGTTGGACGAAGCCTTGGGTGGCATGGTTTAGTGTAAAATGTCCCTGCCCATGGCAGGGGGTTGGAACTAGATGATCTAAAGGTCCTTTCCAGCCGTAACTATTCTATAATTCTAAGAACTTCAGAGCCCTTGAAATTTATCAGGTTAAAGCTTGCCACAGTTTTACCCTGTATTCAGCAGTTCTCCATTTCTTCTTGCTCAGGCTTCCTTTATACAATACTACTAGCCTCCTTAAGTAACACAGGAGCACTCAAATTCTCCCCAAGGACCATGATGTGGATTCTGTACTTAAAATATTTCATACTTAACAGTTCTACCAGAGTTTTCTTCTCTCCCAGACTTCCATCTACCCACTCACTTCCAGACTCTTATCAGTTCATCCCACATACTGTCAATGTTCTGTCTGTGCCAAGACAAAAAACGGACACATCACATACCCATAGCAATTGATCTGCTCATTTACTCCTCCTCTACACTTTGAGAAAGAAATAGGAAACTGAGAAACAGAGGTGGGCAAAATTAGACAAGCTGCAAGAATGAGATTTTGTACTATATTCAATATAGATTACAGAGACACAAAGTCAGGGAGATGAATTTTTGTGTGCAGTCAGGACAATGCATGCAACGGAAAACAGATGTGTATTTAAGACTGTGCTGTAATAGTGACACAGAAATATCCCTGTCTTTTCAGATCAAGGCTCTTTCCCCTCTCTCCCCAGTTTGAGCTGAGAGGAACCTACACCAGACTGTATTCTTGAGAAGGAGAAGCAACCAAGAATCCAAGCAAACAACCCTTCCTGCAAGGCTAGGAAGAACAGGTTCAGCCTTTCCACAGATATGCTGAAACCAGGTTGGCTCCATCCTTCAGCCTGCATTTCTACAAAGCAAAAGTTGTGCTTGTTACAAGACCATCTCCTAAGCCTCAGTAATGTATTCACCACACCTCCATACAAAGAAATCTGCTCTATGAGACAAATTCTGAAGATATGTATTACAGTAATTAAAATGCTGTTAGAAACAAACAAAAAATAAATAAATACTGGGATAAGCAAAATATACAAGTCAAATCAGAAAATGTTCCCTACTCCTTCCAGCATAAAAATACATTCTGCTGGCTCCCAGAACTCCAGAGGTAAGTAATCATTCCCTTCCTCTTATCAACTGAAAGGAACTGAAAGCAGCAGATTTATTATCTGAGAAAGACATTCAGGCTTCAAGAGTGTTACCCTGTAAAACAGTAATAAAACTACATCTTAAACCAACTTTTCAGTAACCCATTTGGATGATTCTCCTGACAGTACACTGATCTGATCTTGAAAATATATACACGCCAAAAATATTACAGCACTATCATAATTTCTTATACCTGCTTAACAAAAGAACATTAAGCCTCCAAAACATTAAAAGCATAGGCACTGTACCTTGGTACTATCCGCTTGTATAAATTCTGCATCAAAAATATGTTCATTATAACGACATCGGGCTTTCATGTCTTCATATCGCTGCTTGCACTGCTGCACAGAAATGTCAGCAATATCTATATATGGAGAAATTTTGAAAAACAAACCAAACAAGTGTGTAAACAACCACTTTCGTATTTCCAATTTCACAGAATCACAGAATGGTTAGGGTTGGAAAGGACCTTAAGATTATGTAGTTCCAACCCCCTGCCACAGGCAGGGACAACTCACCTTAGATCATCTTGCCCAAGAGTCTATCCAGCCTGCCCTTGAACACAGTTTGTAGAAAAGGAATTTAATTTGCAGAAAGTGTTTGGGGTTATAACTCTTTGAGATTTTCAGTTATTATTTCAAGACAAAAGTTGTACTCTGAAGATTTTAGAAAGCTCCCATCCTCAAAAGTGCAATGCAAGCCTCCAAAATCTCAAGTAGTGATACTACGTGATTGATACTAAGTGCTGTCAGTCCAAAGTGTCTAGTATACATTAGCTAAAACAGTTCAGCCTTCAGGGTTTCTCAAAAAAGTACTAAAAGCTCTTCATCTTTTTTCAAATATACAAGAAGTTGAAACGCAGTTATTTCTGTTATATATATCAGTATACATCATCATGGGAATTGCTTTCTAATTTTCTTTTTAAGACTGCTCCTCTCAAACATCAAGCTTCACTGAATAACAGTTTGCACAAATTTTTTAACTAACAATATGCAATAAATTTACATGAGAACTTCGTAAGTAAATTAATTAACTGTATTTGAAGATTGATAATAGAACAAGGCAAGAAAGAGATGTAAAATATGGAATATCCCAGAATAATTCACACTAAAGGGATGTTATGAAATTTTGCTACCTAATTAAATTTGAAGTGAAGTACTACTTCCTCTGATTATCCTTGGGAAAAGAGAAGATGGTGTCTCCCTCCCAGCATCTAAGCAAACTATTTAAACAAGAGAGGTTTTTTTAATCAGTTTTCAGCTCTTCCCTTTTCTGAAAGTCTTTCCCTGATTCTAACACCGAAAACCATTTTCTGTCACAACACTGCAAGGTTTATTTTGTTTTTTAATGCAATCTTTGTGTTTCCACAACAGCTAAAAAATACTGCAAGATAGTATGTGTGTCCTGGGTTCAGCAGTAGCAGTCATTTTTTTCTCCTTCTTAGTAACTGGTGCAGTGCTGACAATGTGTGAGAAAAGACGTGAAATACAACACATCAGTCTTTTTCCCAGTGCTACACTTTGCCTAAGACAAACTGTGGCAAAAGTGTGTCTCTTTAGTGATACTAGTTTTTAGTCATAAGTTAAACAGAAAGCTATTACACAGAAAATCAAAGCTTCTTATATTTATGCTGGCAATCAAGTTGATGTCTTCAGATTAAAAGACAATAGAAGACTTTTTGACAGGAGGCATACCATTGCATTCTTGGGCTTAGTAAAAGAAGGAAATAAGGCTGGAGATGTGCCCATAAAACACTAATGAACTTTCCCTTTCTTACCAGTACAGACAAGTTTTTTAATTCTGCCTTTTTTCCATTTCAGTAGGTCTCCACCTTTGCCACATCCTAGATCCAGAACAGCTATATCGTTCTTTTTCCGTCGTACCCGGTCTATAAATTCACCTAGAAAAATAACAAGAGAGAACTCGCATAAAGGTCTCTGTAATTCACTTGTATTGTACAGAGAAGCCTAAAGAACCAAAATGGCGTGAGATTTTTTAAAACATCTCAAAACTTACTTTGCCTAGAAGTCTTCTTAGCATGAGACTTACACCTCTCTTTCTAGAAACCACTAATGATGAAAGGAACCACAACATTTTAAAACTATGGAAAAGATAATGAACATTTTGTGTGCTTAATGTGCTTTGCATGTAATGTAACTTGAGTGCTGAACTGTTTCCCTGGCAAAGGCAAAACTGCACACCACTAAAGAACCACTCTGTGCGTGAGTAGGCAAACAGGGTTCCCTTTCATTACCATTATAATGAAGGCAGATGTTATCTGAAAGTATGGGAAAGCCTTCTGCAGAAGAGTAAAAGCCAATTAAATGCTTCAGCCACAACATTTCCTTGCAGTCACATTACATAAATGCCTAACGTTTTCCACTCACTCTCCTATGCCTTGCAATAACATTAGGTACTTGCTTGCTGTCTTCTTGCCCTACATACACTAGTTTCATTTTTTCTTTTAACTTCACTCTGCCTAGATTATCTCTGACTGATGTTGGCATATTACGTGAAACGTATCTGCATGCTAGCAACTTTTCTTCACAGTAAGACATGAAATATGTTCCGATACATCTCCTACAACATACTACTGAAATTCATCGCAACTGAAAGTCTTCAACACAGGCTTCAGGAACAGCTCTATATAAATCTAAATATTGCTTCCAACTGCTCTGACACAACACAACAAAAAGCAGCACAGTAAGACAAACAGTGCCAACATCTCCTGGCATAGATCCCTCTTCATGAATCTGTGGTGTCGTGCCAATAATTCATTTCTTTGTTTGCAGGTATCTGACAGTTCCATTTCCTCATTTTGGAATTAATTTGTGAAACAGCAGATTTTGCCTTTCATAAAAAGCTGTTGACTCTTAAAGAACTATATTCCCTAGTTTTTAATCTTTTACACTGTTGACAATAGGCAATATAGAAAAATATCTCAGTTCAAGTTTCCTGCAGAATTGCTTAATCGAGATCCAAGGACAGACTGCTTTAAGAAAAGATTAAGAAGCTATATGAGACAGATTTAAATAACAGCTCAATCTAGGAAGGACAGATTCTTTATGATTTAAAGCTGTACCTTTATCTTTTAAAATGTCACAAAGAGCAGTTTCCAGTATGAATTTTTTCCAGTTTTCAGGTCACTTGATCTTTAAACCTTTAGCATACATTTGGCTCTCCAACATTAGTATTTTATTGCACTTGAAAATCTCACCATGTATTAAGAGACAAAGTGTCACAATCAACTTTAGCAGAAAAAAGTTACATTATGATACAAAATTTAGTTAGATTTTATGAAAGTATAAGCGATCACTGGGGAAGCTTACCAATGAGGACGCTCTTTGTCCAATTATTAAAGTTTCGGAGGTAGAATATGCGAGACTGGCTACGTTTTTCCAGTCCAACTTCCTGAAGCTCATTATAATGTGCAGCTACAGCTTGTCCATGGCCTACCTTACACTGTAGAAAAGAGGGAAGGAATAGACTCAAATGGTGAATTCTTAAAAGACACACGTTCACTTTAAAGATTTAAGATAGTAAACAAGTAATACTATGAAAAGCACCATCATGACATATTTATATAAAAACATTTTCTGTATCTGTCGTGGTACTGATGTCAGTACTTCCCATTATCACACAGACAGCTCCCTTAAAAATTTTAATCCCCTTTTCAGTTGTTTTGAGTAATTTCTGACAGATGAAGCCCAGCATCTTTTCTTCATAGACATATTTAATTTTCAATTGTCTAATACTCTCATCACTCTCAAGTAATCAGTTTCATTCCCCTTAAGCCTAGGATTGAAGAGAGAATGCTCCTTCTTGAGGAATTTTAAGCTTCTTGAAAAATGCTGTTTGAGAAATTCAATGTTTACATCTAACAGAAGCATATAAACTGCCAGTTTAACCAAAATGCCAACTAGGTGATGTCACATAAAGCCCCAACAGAATGATCCCACTGCCAGATCTTTAGCCAGACTATGGTAAAGGAATGAGAGTAATGTCAATGTATCCCATTTAATGCTTAACAGTTAGCTGTAGAGTGTCTCCTGCTTAGCCTTAACTATAAGTACTCCAAGAAATCTCTGTCCATGTGACACACAGAATCAGATCTTCACCTTGAAAATAATCTTCAATTACGTGCACAAAATTGAAACAAAATAATAATGTGAGGAACCAATACAATTTCTGTGAGACACAAAAGCGCTTGAAATAACAGTACAAACTAGAACAAGCGATTCTCAGTTAAAACCCACAAACATGTTACAAAGCCCCAGCCGGTATGAATTCACATAGCAATTAAAAACATTCCCCACAGCTGACTACAAAAGTCAGCATCCAAATATTTTATTATTCAAATAGCAGTCCCTCAAGGGAAAAGAAGGTTTTAATAACTTTAAAATACTACCTGAATTCTGTAGTGTTTCATATCATTTTGGTAACCTTCAAAACGCACACAGAATTCCTATGACCCCATCATCTGTTTATGACCACAACTTAGTTGACATAATAATTATTTTGACCATTTCTAATCTTTTTTAGGGTCAGCACAGACGGATCCCTGAACGGCTACTGAGGGTGACATAAATGAAAACAGCTGACTTTGACAAGTGCAGAGGACACATTAATACAATCTATTAACACATCTCAGCTGCTGCAAGCACAGTTGCAAGCAGCCATCAGCAATAACATCTAGATGCTGGCCTGCATTCAATGCAGTCACCTCTCTACACCTGCAAGCTATGCAAAGCCAATGCATTTCTTGTCCACCTAAACCATACCCAAGACCTACTTTATTAAAAATGACAGGGTTAATAATGTTTCTACCACAACAAAGGGCACTTTTTATTTTATTAGATTTCTTAGCCATAAGTTAATATCCTGGAAAAATTCTGAATGGAGAAACAAAACATTAGGTCAAAGGCATTTTTCAAACTGTACTCAAATATTCCAAAAGATCAAAATTAGCACCAGTTTCTGCAAGCTCATACATAATAAAGGACAGCATCATATTACCTTTTTAACCCTCCCAGTTAAAAAGACACGTTTTCTGCTACACCTGTAGTCTTCAAACAAAAAAGCATCTGTAAACCTTTTAGTATTTGACTTTGCTAACAAACCATACTGAAATTATATCACAGAGGATGAAGTTTGTAGTGTTCTGAATTATATAATACATTACTGAGGAAATGAAAGGACAAAATTATCTTATGGGAGAATTTCAGATACACTATACCAACACAGGAAAACAACACACAAAGCATGAATTTCAGATACGGGACTTGGACTAATGCCAGTAAACTCTACGCTGCACTAACAGATTGTTACCACACAGGCAACAGAACAGTTGTCTTAGAACTGGAATAAGCACATGTTGAGTTCAGTTCTCTCAACATTCTAGTTACTATCCATCCTTCTCTCCCATTAAGCCCAACATAACTTCTACACCTGTTATTTTGCTAGGAAGCTACCCACAAACTTTGACATTTGGTGTTTCATACTGGTTCACTTATGTTTAGTATCAATATTTTCAATTTTTCTTGACCTAAGGCTTTGAAACAAGGATTTGAACATAGCTCAAAATAAATGATACTCACTGCTTTCTTAGGTGGTTCATCTTCAGAGTCTAAATTCTTCCCTTTTGCTGTGCCATCCTGATTACCACTATGGACTTCTTTTTCATTTGCAGTGGACTGAACTGTACCTGAAGTTGAACTACTGCCTTCCTGACTAATACCTGAATCTGCTTCTAAAGTACCAGGTGTTTTCTCCACTTCTTCATCCAAACTCTTCTCTACTTCCTGTTCTTCACTGTTGGTTAAATCCGCCATTTTTGAAAAGTGAGACTCCTTGTCCATTTATCAGAATGGAAGTCTATAGAGGAAAAAAACAGAACAAACCACCAACTATTCTCAGTGTTGAATTTTTTACTTCTGGTTACATTCATGACTTTCAATTATCATGCTGGCATTACAAAAAATAAGGTGTTTGCCCTAGAAAACATAGGCTTCAAATTTGACTAATTATTTTATAAAAATAGCACAATTTCAAAGTACTGTCACTGCAGAAAGATCAAATTAAGAGAAATTTTTGCTCTCCATGTTTGAGTCTCTTAGCTACCTTTATTGGCTCAATGGCAACATGCTATTGCATTTTGAGCCTGTAATCTCCCCTTTCCCCTCCCCATAAAGAGTAAACTACAAACCACTTTATGTTCAGAAACACAAGCTGACAGAGTCCCTCAAATTGGTAAACTCATTATTCAATCTATTTGCAAAGGGATGTCCTCAAACAAGAAACTCAAGGTGTTTCTTTAGAACAAACTTTCATATCAGGAGTGGTTTTTCAAGTTTGCCAAGAATATCCACTATGCCTCAAGTCTCACTAGTACTAGGAATCTTCAGCTGTATTTCCTTATCTCCACAAACATCTATACAGTCTGTAGGACAGCAAATCACTGTTACATGGCCCATTCAGCCTCCATCACATCCCAGCCTTCTCTACACCATTACTGGCACGCAGGACACATACTTTCTAATATAGCACAGCAAAAGATCATTTAGCAACTCCTCTTCTGAAACAGTGGCTTATTTTAATCTAACAAAAACCACGTACACCCCCCGGTGTACAGGCTTAAGCCTCCTAACGAGGATCAAAATGCATTAAGCAGACCACTTACACAGAGACCCCAGAACAGCCTTCCTCAAAACAAATGGCCTCAAAGCATAACTTATGGAAACAACTTTTCTAGTATGCTACATCACCTAACTCACACTTCCCAAGCGGCGCACCTTTTCTTAGCTTCACCCGGCTGTCCCAATCAGTTTATCTGATGTTTTTAAGGCCTAGATTTACAAACTATCAGAATTTCGGACAACCAAATTCTCAGGAGCAGCTCTTTCGGAAGGCAGCTCAAAACGCGACGGGGAACGGGAGACGAACGGGACAGTCACCGCAGCGGCACCCCACTAACGGGGCAAGGCCCTGAAGTCTCGCTGCGTCACGGGGGGTTGAGGGCGGGGGTCCGGAAGCCAGCAGGCGGGGCGCGCGCCTACTGCCCGCCGATGCGAGACCCGGCCCGGCCCACCACAACAACGGACAAAGCGCGCGCCGCCGCGGCACCACCCACGAGCCCCGGCGCGGCCGCAACCGATTGGCGACGGCCGGAGGCGCAGCGCGGCCTTAGCCCCGCCCACCCCGGCTGCCCGCGGGGCAGAGGGCTCGGGGGGCGCCGCCCGCCTCAACGCCAGCCGCCGTACCACCACCTCGCGACGCCGTCGTTGGGCTGCCCGTTAGGGTCTGCAGCACTCACCCAGCCGCACACCGCTCCGCCATCCTGTTTGCAGAAATGACGCCTTCCGCGGGGCGGCAGCAAGCGTGGTGCCGTCACATCCGGTCTCGTCCCGCGGTGGGACAAGACTACGAGCCCCAGAAGTGCGTGCGAGCGGGGGGTGAGTTGCGCGCCTGCGCGGTGGGGTCCCACCGGGCCTCAAGGTGATGGTGGGGACGGGCCGTGCTGCACGTTGTCCTGCCGCACACGCGGGCCGGGCCGGGGGAGGTGACGGGCGCTGTGGTCGTTGGTGAAACCGCAGCGAGGTGTGTCTCATGGCGCAGGGCCCGTGAGGTGCAGGAGCGGTCTCTGGGACACGAGGTATCCATGCAGTGGGGCCGAGGGGAGCGGCGGCCCCCGGAGATCCCCTACTTGGGCGGCGGTGGGGGAAGGGGGCAGAGCGCGGCCGGTGGTAGGGAGCGGCAGGGCCCGCCGCGCACGGGTGCCCCGCAGCCCCGGCTGGTTTTGCAGTTGCGGGGGTTGGTCTGTCTGCCCTGCGGCCGCTGGTGGCCGGTGAGGACTGTCGGCTCGGAGCTCTGCGCCTTCCCTCCGGCCGCTTGCTCTTTACCAGACAGAGGGGGGCGTGTTGTCTGGCGTGAAAAATGGCGGTCGCGAGTCTCTGACAAGTTGTACCGTTAAAGGGCCGTAGTTAGGTGGTATGCCTTTGGGTATTGCTGTCCCGAGGCACCTGATTCTGTGCGTGTCTTGACTTTTTAGACTAATTAAACTGTCTGTACAAATGTTTTCTTGCCTAATAAATGTTTTGCGCGGGTGTTATGTGACGTGCTGTGGCATATAACAAATACAAGCAAAAGGCTGGTTTCCCGGAGCAGGGGAATCTCAAAATTGAGAAGTCTGATTTTCCCTTCACTTACCTGTTCACTAGTAAAACTATGTTTATTTGCGCGTCCTGAGCTTTCGGTACTTTTTTTTTTTTTCTCTTGCGTTTCGTAAGGACTAGTTGTAGAGGTCTCTGAATCCATAGGAGGTATAGTGGCTGGCTGTGAACAGACCACAGCCTTCTCGGCCAAGTTGCCTAGAGTTACAGTTCTCATTAGTAATCTGCTTTTGGTAGTTAACTATGGGAGTTATCAAGGGAGTCAGACTGGGAAGTCTCTCTGATGGAAGGATGTTTCTGGAAGAAGTCTAGTTAAAGCTGTTAGGTCAAACATGGATGTATGTCAGGTATTACAGATTTTGTGTTCAGCTTAATTTATGTGCGTTTCTGAAATGCCTTCTACAAGCTGGCCCAAAAGATAAAGTGTTGCTTTAGAAGGTAGTACATGTAGTGACCTAGAGTTCCTTACCAAAACTAGTCTTCAACTGAAGGTGTTCCTCAATCTACCTAAACCCCAAGATGCTATTGCTGCTACAAGTATAAACGTAATTGGCTGTACAGCAGCTCTATAAGCCTTTTCCAAAAGCAGTTGGTCAAGAGTTAATTAGAATGTGAGGGCAGTTATCTGATAGAATCATAGAACAGTTAAGGTTGGAAAGGACCTTAAAATATCTAGTTCCAACCCCACTGTCATGGGCAGGGACACCTCTCCCTAAACTGTGTCACCCAGGGCTCTGTCCAGCCTGGCCTTGAGCACTGCCAGGGATGGAGCATTCACAACTTCCCTGGGCAAACCATTCCAGTGCCTCATCACCCTCACAGGAAAAAATTTCCTCCTTATACCCAATCCAAACTTCTCCTGTTTAAGTTTGAACCCGTTACCCCTTGTCCTGTCACTACAATGCCTAGTGAAGAGTCCATCTCCAGCATCCTTATAGCCTCCCTTCAGATACTGGAGGGCTGCTATGAGGTCTCCAGGTAGCCTTCTCTTCTCCAGGCTAACATCTTCTAGGCTAGCATCTTCTAACATCTTCTCCAGACTACATCTTTTACCCGTAACAGTAGTGCTTAGCCCCAGCACATGCCAGTCACTTAACTACTTGCTCTTAATATTTTGTAGATTTAAAAGCTTGTTTTGCTTATGTTAAAATTGGATGGCATATTAGTATAATGCTTTCTGATGGAGTGATGTTTCTGTGCTGAAACACAAGCCTTGGGCTTTGCTGTTCACATCTCATATAATGCAGTGTGCAGTCACAGGATTCCTTTCTCAGTCTGAACACAGCAGTGTCGTAAATCTGCTACTTTACACTCTGAGTGGAAGCATTATTAGGGTCCTATTACTGAAGTCCCATCAGAGCTCCTTCTGGTGTAAAGAGAGCTCTGTGAGTGATGCTATTTTGGACACTTGTAGATGGCATCATTTTGTTGCTTCCATGGCTAGCAACATTAGCAGTTGTGTTCACTATGCAATAGATGCCATGAAAGGCATTAAATTTAATAGTGAGCTAGAAAGTTTATCTGCTCTGGTATCAAGACCTTAATAAAAATAATACTACTTTCAGTAGGAACCGTTCACACTCATTTGTAGAGAACATGGGGAATAGCATTTACTAAAAATTAGATGAAGAGTGTGGTTTTGAGCATGTGTGTGTTCTGTAAATGTTATGATCAGCACCTTCACACATAATTTTTCAAGATACTCTGATTGATACTACACATATTTCCCCATATGGGCAAGTTTGAACTCACAACAGAGAATTCAACACTTACTTTGAATGTTTAGAAAAGATTTGTACTGGAAGTGAACGTCTGCCAACAGTAATTCTGCTAGGAGATGAACGCTCTGTATTTTTTGCTGGGAAAAATGACAGCTTTTCAGCTTGGAAATGTGAAGTAAATGTGGTGAGAGAATAAAAGAGAGAAATCTTGAACCTAATGCTTCCAGAATGTGAATTCTGTTCTTACTGAAGCAGAGGGGGGGGGGGGGGGAGGGGGCTGGTTTATACTTATTCCTGCTTTGTTTCTAATTGGAAGGCTTCAGAGCTTTTCTTTGAGGATGTTTTTTGAAAGTCTTAGAAGAACTTTGGGTGTATTTGTAAAGACTTGCTACTTACTGAGGATTGTTGTTTTAAGTGCTTTGTAAAATTGTTACGTAGTATAATTGGCATTTAAAATATTATTACAGCCAATACTGTTGATTATGGTTGGGTTATGGAGGGAAGAGACACAGGACAATGAGACAAGGCCTGCAAAGATCCAAGGTGGCAAAAATGATGTTTATAATGGCTAGAAAAGAAACCATTTTGGTAGTCACAATGGAAGATGAGGCAGAAGGCTGTACAAAGTTGATGTGAAGATCTAAGTTTAAGCATATCCTTAATAAATGCAGAGTATCTCCAGTTGTTTCATTAGACTTTTCAGGAATAAATATTTGATTGTAACTCCAAGAGCTGCTTAAATATTATAATCTAAATCGTATATGGCAGCAAAGTCCTGGGTGAGCAGAAAGATTATGAATTAAGAAAACAGCTTGGCTACTAGAATCCAAAGTAAGAATAGCAGGAATTCTTGAGCAAGGTGGAGTTCAGTTTTGCCTTCAATCTTTTTGGGTGTTATTGATGGCTCTGCTAACGAAAAGAGATGTGCACAGGAGCTCTGAACTCTAAAGAGAGGTAGCAGAACTTTATAAAAGAAATTATCTTAATCCTCAAGGTGTAACTAATAGTTATGTTTCTGATGCCTTCTAGCATGTCTTAAAATGTAGAGTCAGAACTCTTGAGATGCTCAACGGAAGTTAAGAGATGAGGAATCTGCCAAAGTTCAATGACCCATGGAGACGGGAGAGCCAAAGAGATTTTTAAACAGTGTTTCAGTGAGGTGTAGAAAAGTGGTCTGTGAATTTGTGTGTTTGTGTTTTAGCATCTGACCCCTCACCAGTGCAGTTGTGGGGTTTTGGGTTGGGGTTTTTTTGTTTGGTTGTGGGGCTTTTTGTTCTCCTGAAAGAATTGAAAGCCACGTGCAGGAAACTGTTCATGTGAGGCTTCCTTATGTGAACAACCTTTCATAGCCCCTTTTAGTCATTTAGTAGAAACTTCCCACTGCTTTGTAAACCTGCAGCCCACCACACACACTCCTCCATGTTAATTATCCTCTGACGGAAAAACACAACTGTTTTGAGTGGAATGAACTAATGATATGGTGGGAGACAAGAGGCTATTAGGAGTTGCTTGGGAAAGTTATTACATGAGTGGAATGAAAAGGAGAGAATTGGATCTTATTTTATCATTAGATTAAAGTGAAAGGTAATGTTCAGAAAGGCAAAATAATAAGCAGACAAGTACAATCCTGGTTTTGAACTAACAAAGGGATTTTAAAAAAACAACTTTTTAGCATAGATGTATATGTCTGGTTTTAAGCTTAGGTAACATGTAAAAGCGTAACTTCTCTAACTTGCTTATTGCAGATACATCATTAGGGGCAAAAAATGAACAGAAAAAATCAGCACTTTAAAAGGCAGGGTTTGTTTTTGTGGTTTTTTTTCTTCTCCTTCCCTTGACATGTGCCTGTTGTTTTGGAGGACTCTGGAACCAACATAGAAGATGATCCAGCAAATTTACACTTGCTGAAAGGAATTGTGGAGAGACCTTTTGTAGTGAAAGAGGTGTACTTACGTAAAAATTCAATAGAGGGCAGAATGAAACTTCTGACTGAAGAAACCCAGTGCACCAGTTCACCACTGCAAAGCAGGGAAACCGTCGAAAGCTGGAATAGCACCAGTTATTAAAAATATAGTTCTGAAGAGCAAAAAGCACCACAAATGATTGTGATAATTTCTTTCAGAATAATTGGAGAGTCCATTCACACTTTAAATAACACTTAGCTGTGTGCTTAAAATCTAACGCATTCCTATATGCAAGTAAATGGAGATACTGCTGTCATGTTGACTGGGTGCAGGTCAGCTGTTAAACCTCCTGTTTAGCCTTTCAGATCTGTAACTCAACACACAGGCATTGCATTAGGTTCCCCTACTGTGCCTTCTGGATCCAATGTTCAGACTCCATAAATGTCTACAAGAATTTTTATTCTTCCTAAAGCTACTTTCTGTTGTGCTTTCTAGTAGTTTGGTATCTGAAGATTGCTGTGTATGCAAAGACCTTATGAAAGTTTATTCTACTTTTTTGACTTCACTGAGTTTATTTTAGTAAGAACA